TATTTACTAGCAAAAAACAGCATTTAATTCAATGGCTATAATCCTTCCTTTACAATAAACCAACTGAATAGGGAAATATATATTATTGTCCATATTTTTAATACATATATATTGTATATATATATATATTTTTTTTTTTTGATAAGCAGAAGTTAATCCTCACCTGAGGATATTTTTTCTATTGGGGATAGAAAGTTAGAAACATTGATGAGAGAGAAAAATCGATCAACTGCCTCCTGCACACTCCCTCCTGGGTATGTGCCCGCAATCAAGGTACATGCCCTTGACCGAATCAAATCTGGGACCCTTGAGTCTGCAGGCTGACGCTCTATCCACTGAGCCAAACCGGTTAGGGCAGGGCTGTCCATATTTTTAAAAATCCCTTTAGTGACCTCATAACTATCAATCAGGGTGTTTTATTGATCAAGAACTATCCTGTATAATAAAAGGCTAATATGCAAACTGATCACACTGCAGAATGACTGGTCGCTATGATGCACACTGACCACCAGGGGGCAGACGCTCAACACAGGAGCTGCTCCCTGGTGGTCAGTGCGCTCCCACAGGGGGAGTGCCACTGAACCAGAAGCTGGGCTCATGGGCTGGCGAGTGCAGTGGCAGTGGTGGGAGCCTCTCCCGCTTCCGCGTCAGTCAGACATCCTCCGAGGGCTCCTGGACTGCGAGAGGGCGCAGGCTGGGCTGAGGAAATTTTGTGCACCAGGCCTCTAATAGTGATATAAGAGAAGAATGGTATGATGACCCTCATTTCCTTCAGAAATCACCTTCTGAGTGAGGTGTTCCTTCAGTGCTCTATTTAAAATTTTTAACTTTATCCCTGCCATGCAACTTTATATTCCCTCTTCCCTCATTTCCACCACCTTCCACTCATGAGATCTTACCACTATCTAACATCCTATATTTGACTCATATTTATTTTTGTTTATTATCTGCATTCCCCCACTAGATTTTTGGCTCTTGGAGGGCAGGGATTTTGATATTTTGTTCATAGTTGTATCGAGGGCAGTCTTTGGAACAGTATAGGCACTTAAATATTTATTGAACAAATAAAATGAGTACAAACAAAAATATTCCTAGAGAAAATTGTTCGTGAAGTCTTTTCCCAATTAAAAATAAATGAATGTCTTCTAACATAATCTATAACCATTCCTGAAGCTAAAAGTAGCTACTCTATTTTTCTCATGCCAACATAAAGAGAAACTGGTTGCCAACTTAGAAATATCTAGCCTCACTTTTAATGTAAACTCTTTATTTTATCTAACATGGTAAAACTGAGGCAATAGTGATAGTTCAGTTCTATTTAATTAGCATTGGTTGAATACTTAATAAGTGAAAAAAAAGTATCTAATGGGATGAGATGTTTCTTGAATCTTAACATTCTGTATACAAAATTACGCTATTTTAGAAAATCAAGCATTTTGCCAAATGGGAGAAAGGAGAGGAATAAGCATGTAGAAGGAAAAACAAACAAACAAACAAACAAACAAATGGAATAGAAAAATACAATTTCTTTGACCCATTAAAGAAAGGCCCATTCAACATGAACAGTTTGTAGCTAAAAGGAATCCCTTAGTTTAGAGAAAACAAGCATAAGCACAAGCTATATCTGTTTTTTCTTATAAAGAAAACAAAAAATATGTAAAAATGTTTACCACTTTAAAGAAGAGATTGACATTAGCCTTCTGACCATCCTTAGTGTCCATGTCAGGGTATTCATGGCATATAATCAGCTCAGTTATAAACCCAAGGTATAGACATGAGCTGCATGGGAGTTAAAACATGAGACTGTATGACTACTTGAGACATTGGGTTCAAATTCTAAGATCTAAATGTGTTTAAGTCTGATTCTTTAAGCCACTTAAAGCTCTGTGAAGACACAAGATGATCCACATTAAAAAAATCACTTGGTTTTATTTTGCTGAATAGAGCCATAGACCATGATAGACCATTTTCAATTATGAGATGGCTCAGAAAGTATGTATGAATTCAGAGAATGTTGAGACCCTATACTTTGTAGTACTGAGAATTTAATCTTTCATTAGAAAGAATAAAATCTAACCAGTGAATTTCCAATTATAGATTTCATAATGAATTCTAGTTATTGCTTCCTGGACTCATCAATTCCATTAATAGATGAATATCTTTTCTGAATCATAACTCAAAAAGAAATGTCAGTATTGTATCAATGATATTTATATCAGAAATAATAAGACAATGAACCCATTCTACTTGGATGCACTGGTCATTTATACACAATTGGAATTCTGGGGAAAATATCAAAGATAATCAATATGTATATAGATATTAGGATAAAATTATATGCTTTTCATTTCAGACAAGGGTAGGAGGGAGAATAAAGCTCTGATTTTTAAAGTGCAATGGGCAGGGACGGGAGGAGAAATGAACAAATATCAAATAAAATTCCACAAATCATACAAAATCAGGATTTCCTAGTTAATTTGGAAAAATATATAAAAAAAAATAACTCTCCACTGAAGCATAGTATATTGATTAGAGTCTGACATAAAAAAATAATTCTACTAAATTATAACTTAGGCTATTAAAATATTTAGAATCATTTTGCAATACATACAATAAATCAAATCATTATACTGTATACCTAAAACAAATACAATGTTATATGTCAATTATATCTCAATTAAAAAATATTATTTGGTCTACATAAAGTACAAACCCTTATACACTTAAAGAATATAATTCTTAGCACAAAGACAACATGCATAAATAAACCAGTTAGTAGTTACAACCATCATTTCTCTTGCTTTGAAAGGTTAAAAAAACTAAACCAAATCAATTAGTTAATGTTCAGCTTGTGTAAAATCACTGTACTTAGGAAAATTCAAATTTAAAAAGAGTAAATCAATAGTATTTTTAGAAATACATGTTATTCTACCCAACAATTCTCTGCCTCCCCCCTCCCATAAATCCATTGTACAATCTTTAAAACTCAAAATAATCATTTAAAAAATTTTTAAAAACTGATTTGAGAGAGAGAGGGAAAGGAAGAAGGAAAGAACAACATTGATGTGAAGGAGGAAATCCATTGGCTGCCCCCTGCATCCTCCCTACTGGGGATCGAGCCCAAACCTGGGCATGTGCCCTGACCAGGAAATGATCCGGTTCCCTTTTGGTGCACAGGATGATGCTCAACCAACTGAGCCACACAACCAGGCCTAAAATGTAGTTCTTTAATTAAATGGTCATATCAGGTGAGATTCTTTTCAAGTTCAATATGGGAAATCTTTTACATACAAAATAAGTGTTTACTTTGCTGTAATCAATTTTAGTGATGCTAATGTATCTCAAAATATATATGGAATGCCTCTTTGGAAATACACATGAATATTATTAGGCTATGAAGTGGTTGGCAAACTCATTAGTCAACAGAGCCAAATATCAACAATACAATGACTGAAATTTCTTTTGAGAGCCTAATTTTTTAAACTTAAACTATATAGATAGGTACATTGTTATTAACTTAATTAGGGTACTCCTAAGGCTTAGGAAGAGCCACACTGAAGGGGCCAAAGAGCCACATGTGGCTCGTGAGCCGCAGTTTGCCCACCACAGGGCTATAGCCACACTTCATTTTCAACCAAAGAGTTTTGTCCAACTTACGCACTATTATTCAGTCTTTTAAAATATCAACTATTTGCAAAACATTTAATCTAAAAATGCAGGAATTTGCTGTACTGAGATTATTTAATCAAAGTGAATCACAAGCCTTGAAAGTAATTCCAAAAGAAGTTTCAAAATTGCTTTCAACAACAGCATTGAAACACAATATACAGCCTCTAAAGACAGTTACATGAAAGAATATTTATTTATAATTCTACTATTTGTTAGAAAAAACAAACCTGTTTATTTTATATTCATTTCCTTTATAACTGTAACCCTTCATTTGGGTTTTAGATGTAAAAAGCATGAAAAAGAATTTTACTTTTATTTTTTCATTTTGTTTACATTTTTCAATTAAATCACCTCAATTTCTGAACTATAAAATAGAAATTTAACATTTCTAATTCTGGACACCACAAATGTAAAACAAGTCCTATTTAACATGGATTTAAATGATATCTATAGATTTGTTTAGAGTGGAAAGGATTTTGATTTTTTGAAAATGACAGAAAACAATTTTCATTTGGGAGAAATCAACTAAGTATAAAATATGACTATTCTCACACAGGCAACACAAATAAATTGCATTTTAAAAGATCCCTCAAGTTGGATAGAATACATTTAAAACAATACTCTTGCTACTTTCAAGCAGCAGTATTTGCAGATAGTAAGCATGTACATCTCCACTGAATTTAAAATTACTATGCAGCTTTCTTTACTGTAATATACAGTAGCTATTTCTTCCTTTCTGTTGGATTTTTTCGTTATTGTCCTTTGAAGAGTGACTAATATATTACCAACAGAAACAACTTTAGCTCCTTAACCTCCTCTAAAACATGGCTCAGTTTGAAGAGTGTTCTGCAGGCAGCCACATGAATATTAACAGTACCTTAATACCACTGAGAGCAACCTATAACTGGAGTCATAAGAAAAGTA